GGGTTTGAACCTGCCACCCTCGGCATATGGGACCGGCGCCCTGCCAACTGAGCCACAGGTGCCACCCCAGCTACATTTTTTGTTGTTGCAGTTGTTTAGCTGGCCTGGGTCAGGTTTGAACCTTCCACCTTCAGTGTATGTGGCTGGCAATGTAACTATTGTGCTACAGGCTGAGCAGGGAAAATGGTTCTAACTTAGAAGGCATTGAGCATGCCTTTCCACCAAGGCAAGGTGGGACATGCCACCCATGGCTATACTCCTAAATATACCTTGAAAAGCAGCAAACTGGTGCATGTCACTGTCCTCAGGCCTTTGCCTGCAAAGCACAGTTGAGTCCCCAGGGTCTATGGACTCTGGTCTGGGCTACCCAAGCAGGCAGGCAATGAGTTAGCCATGCGGGACCTGGGGGCAGCTGACAGGAGGGAAGGAGGGGTCACCCTGAGCTTGAAGACAGTCTTTGTGGCTCAAGCCTGTATCATAGTCCCTGTGAGATAGGAGTAAGTTGGTGGGGGTGGAGGGGTGGGGACCATTTCTAGCAGCTACAGCTGCTGGGCTGTGGGGGAGGAGTGTCCCCTAGGGCTGGGCCTTTCCCATTGCTGCCTGGGCTGCAGCTGGGTTCCAGAGACTCATTCATCTTCTCACAGATGACATCCACCAGGCGCTCAAACACCTGCTTCACATTGATGTTCTCCTTGGCGCTGGCCTCAAAGAACTCAAAACCTGTATGGACATAAGGCAAGGACATTTAAGAGATGCCCGAGGAGGCAGGGCTTACAATGTGGCATCACCCAAACCTGGGTTCCAAGCCTGGTTGTGCCCTCTACCCTACTGTGGGACATGGGCTGTGTGCCTTTGCCTCCCTAAGCCTAAGTTTGCTTATCTGTAGAATGGGAACAAAAGTTCTATGGCTAAAGATAAAAAATCTTCAATGGGAGCCCAATCTAGACCATTCTAAGATTCTCTTTCTCACAAGGTAGAGGCTGTAAGAGTCCAGGAAGTTGGCTGGGTGTAGTTGCTAAACTCAGGATTACATGTATAATCTCAGCACTTTGGAAGGCCAAGGTGGGTGGATCACCTGAGCTCAGGAATTGGAGACCAGCCTGAGTAAGAGTGAGACCCCATCTTTACTAAAAATAGAAAAACTAGCTGGGCATTGTGCTGGCACCCGTAGTCCCAGCTACTCGGGAAGCTGAGGCAAGATGATCTCTTGACCCCAAGAAACTGAAGTTGCTGTGAGCTATGATGCCACAGCCTCTATTCAGAATGACAGAGTGAGCCTCTGTCTCAGAAAAAAAAAAAAAGAAAAAGAGCCCAGGTACATCTGGTACCCAGCAGGAATTTTGGGGGGTGGACCACAATTTGTCCAGCTTCTACCTAATATCTGCTGCGGGGAAAGGCACACCCAGAAGACCCATCAAGCCGGATTTTATGTGGACTTCTAAAACAGAGCCAAATATTTCTACATTCTGGAAAATGCACTCTAGGACAAATACAACAGAGCTGAGACACCAGTTTGTAATGTCCATCAGGCAGAAAATGCAGGTCCCCCAGATGGGGGACAGCACCCTATAAGCACAATTCCTGGCCTAGGAAACACACTAAAAATGGCAACACTAATGATAATAGTAGGCAGTGCTTGCCATCCATGTGGCAGGAACTTATAAGGCTTTATGTGAATTAACTCACTTAATGATGTTGTAGGGTTCATACTATTTTATTTTTTTTAATTAAATTTAATTTTATTTATCTATGAGACAGAGTCTCACTATGTTGCCCTCAGTAGAGTGCCGTAGCGTCACAGCTCACAGCAACCTCAAACTCCCAGGCTTAAGTGATTCTCTTGCCTCAGCCTCCCAAGCAGCTGGGAATATAGGCGCCCACCACAATACCCAGCTATTTTTTGTTGCAGTTGTTTAGCTATTGCTAGCTGGGTTCAAACCTGCCACCCTCAGTGTATGTGGCTGGTGCTGTAACTACTGTGCTACAAGCGCTGAGCCTTTTTTTTTTTTTGGAGACAGAGTCTTACTTTGTCACCCTTAATAGAGTGCCATGGCATCATAGCTCATAGCAACCTCAAACTCTTGGACTAAAGTGATCCTTTTGCCTCAGCCTCCCACGTAGCTGGGACTACAGACTACAGGTACTGCCACAACGCCCTGTTATTTTTTTAAGAGACAGGGTCCTACTCTTGCTCAGGCTGATCTTGAACTCTGTGAGCTCAAGCAATCCACCTTCCTCAACTTCCCAGAGTTCTGGGATTACAGACGTGAGTCACTACACCCAGCCCTGTTTCTCATTATTTATTTATTTAGAGTCAGATTCTCACTATGTCATCCCTAGTAGAGTGCTGTTCTGTCACAGCTCACAGCAACCTCAAACTCCTGGGCTTAAGCGATTCTCTTGCCTCAGCCTCCCAAGTAGCTGGGACTACAG